CCCGATGACGGACACCAGGCAGACGGGGGCGCCCCCCACCCCACCCTGCTCCAGGCAGCGGCTCAGGGCCCCCTCGTCCAGGATCAGGCCCCCGTCCTCGTCCAGACGCACCAGCTGCACCGGGCGCCCTGGCTCCAGCTCAGCCCCAGGGTCCTGCTGAGCCCCTGGCCCCTGCTGCAGGGAGAGAGCAGGGTCAGAGCTGGGACCCCACCCCAGAGCCAGCCAGTCTCCTGACCCCCAAATCAGAGCCAGCACCCCCTAGAGATGAAGGGCCCTGTGTCCCATTCCCCACCCCTAGATCCAGCCCATCCCTGTCCGGGGGCCAGCAGGAGCCCGGCCCCTTTCCCCCTCTGGCCTGTCTGGTCTAACCGGCTCTATCGCGTCCTGCGGGGGCTCCGTGATTTTCTCCACCAGGGCTCTCAGCCTCGTGTCTGGGATCATCCTGTCCCTGGCGCAGGGCCGGCGGCACTCGGGGCAGCACGGTGCCTGGGCTGAGTCCCCGTGCCAGTGAGTGGAGAGGCAGGCCCGGCAGAAGTTGTGGCTGCACTCGATGGAGACGGGGTCCTCCAAGACGTCCAGGCAGATGGAGCAGGTGACGTCCTCCCGGAGTCGCTCCATCCCTCCTGTCCGCTGAGTGGGGAGAACCGACCAGCTGAGCAGCGGAAGGGCTCGGCTGGAGGGCGGCTGATCTCGGCCCAGCTGGGCCCCTTCCTGACAGCAGGAGGCTGGGTGGAAGGAAGAGGGAGATGGGGGAATGTTTCAGAGAACAAAGTCCGTGACTCAGTTTACCTTCCTACAGCAAGAAACCAGGTTCTCAGAAGCCATAGAGCAGGTTGGTAGATTCCCAGGCTTGGAGGGACCAGGCGGAGCAATGGCCAGAGAATGGCCCCCAGGAAATTCCTGTGTGTATGAGAGCAGGTCTCCTAGAAACGGCCCCTTGACGGAGAGTCCCCCGCGCTGCGGGGCACGTTGCTCCCAGCTTAACCTTCACTGCTGGGGTCCAGCTCCCACGTCCAGCCGTGGGGTCACCTGAGAACTTCTCTGCTCGCCTGAGGAGCCCGGGAGGAAATATTTGTTCCGTCTAGACTGAGCTGGAGTCAGCGGTGGGGCTCCGCTTTGGTAGCTAAGTCACGGGCGCCGGGCCATGTTTTCTAACCTTTGATTCACTGCTCGTCCCACCCCCTCTCCGACCGATCCGCCCGCTCCCTGAACCGAGGGCTCTAGAACTGGGCCCGGGATCGCGGCTGCGCTCACATCAGGGTCAAAGCCCGAGGTTCAATAAACTCCCTGCTCCGACTCGTGATTCCCCTTCGTGCGCCCTCCTCCCTTTTGGCCAGAGCATCCCCTGGGGACCCACGTCCAGCTGATTATCCACCCCGCCCCCCGTGCTCTGTCGGTGTCTCCCGTCATCCCTGGAGAGACCCCTGTGCCCGTGAGCCTGGCCAACACTGTCGGTATCACGGTGCCGGCTGTTGGCTGGGCCCAGCCTGCCCTAGCACTGGGGCTGTTGGGGAAGCTGGTGAAGGCGCCATGTGCCGGATCATCTCCGGCTGCCTCTTGCCTGGCCGGTGCACAAACCTCTGAGGGGTCCGGTCTGGGTCAGACTCGCTGCCGAGGGCGGCTGGGCCACACGGGGCTGCTGGAGTCTGGGCCGGGGAAACCACCCCCCCAGCTTTAGGAAAGGCCACGCCCAGGGCACAGCAAGGAAATCGCTTCCGTCCATCAGGCAGTGAGCTGGGTGCTGATTGGCCGAGCTTGCCTCCCACTGGGGGGAGAGCCAATTCACCTGCCCGCCCCATAGAGAAAACTGGGGAAACTGAGGCACAGAGACCAGAAAGAACATGCCCTCCCTGGGATTCCACACATCCACCAATGCGCCCCGTAAAGACCTGATCCATGTGTCCAACAAGCTGGGTGTCTCTTTATCGAGCACCAAGGCCAGCCCCATGTCTGTTTGAATCCTCAGGGGAAACATTTAATTTTGTTCCCTGCAGCTTTGGACACAATCGATCAGAATTTCTCCGGCAGAGGGGCTGGGCGGTTCGCAAAGACTGTTGAAGTTTCCTACAGTTCGGGAGGCAGCTGTTCAATCAGAGCCGAGCCCACCCCACCCCCACGTTTCCTGCCCTCGCCCCTGGAGCGGGGGAAGGGAGCTAGAATGGGGGCTCAAAAAAACAGCAAGTGGGTCTATTACATCTCTCTTCCCAGAGGGTGTGGGCCTCTGAGGGGGTCAGTTCTCCTGCTCTGGGTTGGCATCTGCCTATAAATGCTCACCCTGGCTAGGGTTGCCAGGTGTCCGGTATTCACCTGCACAGTCTGGTATTTTTGCCTCCTGTCCAGTAAAAAAATTCAGAAAATACCAGACACCTGAAATGTCCAGTATTTTCTGATTTTTTCCCCAGCCAGAAGGCGAAAATGCCGGGCACCTGGCAACCCTATAAACACTCAGTGCCTGGCCTCCCCCCACCCGAGCCCCAAACACCCGAGACCCCATACTTTTCTGGTTCCGCAAGGGTGCTGGTACAAAATAGCTGCTGGCAAAAAGACCAAGGGGACGCACTGCCTCCCCTAGGTCTTAGTGCTCAACCACTTCCCTGTTCCTATCCCCGCACTCACTCTTAAAGGGGACATGCTGTTTTATTATTTATTTATTTTTTTGCTCAACAACTTTGGTCTCGTCTCCCCCTTTTTTTCCTCCAATAGAATTTTTCCCTGGTGTTTTTTTGGGGGGAGAGGTGGGGGATGTTCGGTATTTATGGTTCAATCTTCTGGCAACCCTACCCCTGACTAATACACGACAAGCCCCGTTCTAGGGATGCCCCAGAGCTAAAGCCTTGTGGCTCTCCGTGGGGTTTCACTGGTTGGAGTCTAGTGGTATTTCCAGTGACACTCTAGTGCAGTATTTCTCAACCTTTTTTTTATAAAGTGTCCTTAAAAGTACCCCCGCTTCCTCCAGTTCTCAGACGCACAATTGTTTTTCTACCATTGCAACACCTTTGTCTAAACAACTTGATCGTCGCCAGGCGGGCAATGACAATTTTGGGAGGAAAAAGGACAAACGTAATACAGCGCCTGAAACTTCCAACCCAAAGTCAGTTTTCTCCAAATGTCATTTGTGCTGAGGTGCACCCCACGGAGCCCAGCTGAGCGCTCCCGGGGCCTGGCCAGGGACAGCAAACAGAGGGAAGAACCCCCCCCGCCCCGTCTTCCCCCCCCCTGCAGCCACACGGCTCCGCGCCGCCCCGCTCGCGCTGGGAAGCGGAAGCGAAAGTGAAAGTGAAAGTGAAAGTGAAACTCCTTCCCTGCCTTCCACGTGTGGGCGGGCCGAGCGGGGGCGGGGGCGGGGCCAAGCGGGGGCG